TGTGTGTGTGTGTGTGTGTGTGTGTGTGTGTGTGTGTGTGTGTGTGAGAGTGTGTCTATGTCTGTGTCTCTGTGTGTGTGTGAGAGTCTGTGTGTGTGTGTGAGTGTGTGTGTGTGTGTGTCTGTGTCTGTGTCTGTGTACCTGTTGTTCTGATTCTCCTGTACAAAGGGGTAGCAGGTGATCAGGTAGGAGGGGATTTGTGTGTGCTCAGCTCCACCCTCACCGCACAGACTCATGGGTAATAATGACGCTTCAACACCTTTCTTCTGAGGGATAAACGGTTCTACTTCAGCAGAGAGCTTCACATCCTGAAACACACACATATTTAAGCTGCATTATAGGGCCGTCAAATAGACTGAAAAACCTAACACTTGCATTTTTTACTTAAATATTACTAATATTCATATAGACTATTTCAGAAAGGAAAAAAGCTGCTGCCCACAAGAGGGCACTTTAAGCAAACATAGACAAAATCAAGCAGCGCACTAAATTGTTTATTGAAAGAATAATGAAATAACATGGCTGTCTGTGCATAGATTTTTAATGCTCATAAAACAAAAATAAATGTGAAAATTGCATAAACAATTCAATTAAAACACCATATTTTATGCAGTTTAATGCAAAGAGCATACTATTCATTACTGGTAACAGACGTTCATGTAAAATCTAATGTTATGCATTAACAAAAACTCAAAAGTGACACTCCAGAAATCATCAAATTGCAAGATTTCTGAAAACGACATATTTTATAACTGTCTAGTCAGTGTCTTTTCAACCCAAAACCAGCTATATCAATAAGAAGAGATCTAAAGCATTTTATGTTGTCCATAAATGTAAGAAATATGACGTAAATAAGTACCATGGTTTTACTCCAAGATCAGAGTAAGAAACTCAAAATTGTAAATAATTATTTTCAATGATAAAACAATGCATATTAAAATTAACCAATATGAAATGCGGGAAACACGTGCATTTCCTCCTACAGAAATTCCCCTGCATCATATTTGTTGCATTATATGTTTTTATTTTATATTATATGTTTGCATCATAATTCAGCATCGCATACTACCACACTACTCATACAATATCATTACACTTCACTAACAGCAAACAGAGTGTGCTAGTACACTATTCTGAACCGTCCAGAGCGAGACGGCAGATGCCAGCGTAACACAGCGCTTCAAAAAACACATCGCACAGGTGAATAAATGATGTTTGTCCAGTAGGGTTACAGCACAAACAAATAATTCCGGGAATCTAAACACGACCAACGTGAGCATGTGACTGCTGGTCAGGTGATGTCATCACATTCCACGCATTCCTGAACATCTCAGGTGAAACACAACAAACAAACGAGATCTCCATCATTCCCATAATTATGTCACGAAGCAGGAAGAGCTAATGATTAACCAGCTGAACACGCGTGTGTATACGAACACTTCCTCCTCACAGCATCAGCAAACGTCACATCTCTCTGTGTTTAAAGATGATACTAGTGGTGTAACAGTGTGAACCTCTCATTTTGGGGTCATGATTCCAGCACAGATTTCTGAAATGTATGGTTTTATGTGCACCAACAGGTTTAAAATATGTGCGTTATAAACACTTTTAATTTTTTACAGAATAAAAACAGAAGAACAGCAGCAGGACAGGCTAAAATCTAGTGCTGTCAAATGATTAATCGCATCCAAAATAAAAGTTTTTGTTAACATAATATATGTGTGTGTACTGAATTTATTTATTATGTATATATAAATACTCTCACATGCATGTATATATTTAAGAAAAATGTTGTTTATATATTAAATATGTTTACACATAATATAAATTATATTAATATAAATATATACATGTAAATATTTTCAAAATATATACTGTATGTCTGTGTATTATACATAATACATACACACAGTACACAAACACATATATGTGAATATATGAATGTATATGAATATGAATGTATTAATGACTGTTTGCTTAAAGCTTTCAATTGTTGAGGCTGATTACACATTAATGAATTTTGCAAATGCATAATATTGCTCTATAATAGGTTCCGTCTCAGATGAACTGAAGCAGCTCTGACCCAAGACGCAATATGATAATAATGTAATGGAAAAGATATATAAGTATAATAATAATAATAATGACAACATCCTGATTCCCTGGTGAAACACACAATGACTCAGAAACAAAGGCACGTCTGATGCTGAGATCCAGAGCACTGACTGTGTGTGTGTGTGTGTGTGTGTGTGTGTGTGTGAATGGAGTGTGTGTTATAGCATAAAGCAGTAATTGTTCGTCTGTAGGTGGGGGGCGGAGCTCTGCACACTCTTCCGATTGTGACATCTTCACAAACAGATCTGCTCTCTCGTCCAATCAGATCACAGACGGTAACATCAGTCCACGCAGATAATCATTTCTTTATAATCGTCTCCAAATGTAAACTCTCCTATCGGCCAGATTTAATCTGCATTAATACATTACAAACATTAATGTTTTGTAAACAGCGGACTTGAAATGTACACGATCAAGACTCACGGCTGATGAACTGAGCGTCAGGGATTAAAGTGAGGATCCGCAGAAGAAAGAAAGTCACGCCAGTTTGGAGAAACTTGATAGGCGAAGAATAAATTAATACAGAATGATCATTTATTGGTGCACTACCCCTTTAAACACGGTAAAATGTTTAATATTTATAAATAAGAATAAATAAACACACAGGGGTGAAATATGACAGAAGATCTGCAGAGATTCAGTACAGATGAATGTGAGGCGTTGTTTATTATTGATTTTTTTTTTTTTTTTTTAAGTTAAGACAATCTTACCTATTTTCTTACTTCTTGCTAGTAAAACAAAATGTATTCATGTAATTATTTACTTACTGATTTATAGATCTATTCTTGTTTTGTTTATGTATTAAATGTCAATGCTGTGGCAATTCTATGCAAGCCATGTCAATAAAGATCACTTGAATTGAACTGAACTGAATTGAACATGAAGCCAATATAGATAAAGAGATGAGAGTGAGAAAGAGAGAAGCGGTGGTCCGCTCACTGTGGGCTGAACTAATGATAGCGAGGAGGGACGCTTTTGTCTTTTTAGCATTTCTGTTTCAAGATTGTGTGTAGAAAACAGAGGGTTTGTTGTGCTGAAGAACGACAGGACAAAGAGAGAGAGAGAGATAGAGAGAGAGAGAGAGAGACAGAGAGAGA